GATCTTTAGAGGAAGACAAGTATAGGCCTACCTGACCAACAACCATGATCTTTAGAGAAAGTCAAGTATAGACCTACCAGACCAACAGCCATGATCTTTAGAGGAAGACAAGTATAGGCCTACCTGACCAACAACCATGATCTTTAGAGAAAGTCAAGTATAGACCTACCTGCCCGACAACCATGATCTTTAGTGGAATACAAGTATAGACCTACCTGACCAACAACCATGATCTTTAGAAGAATACAAGTATAGACCTACCTGACCAACAACCATGATCTTTAGAGGAAGACAAGTATAGGCCTAACCGACCAACAACTATGATCTTTAGTGGAATACAAGTATAGGTCTACCTGACCGACAACCATGATATTTAGAGAAAGTCAAGTATAGACCTACCTGACCGACAACTATGATCTTTAGTGGAATACAAGTATAGTCCTACCTGACCGACAACCATGATCTTTAGAGGAAAGCAAGTATAGACCTACCTGATCAACAACTATGATCTTTAGAGGAATACAAGTATAAACCTACCTGATCAACAACCATGATCTTTAGAGAAAGTCAAGTATAGACCTACCTGACCAACAACCATGATCTTTAGAGGAAACAAGTATAGACCTACCAGACCAACAGCCATGATCTTTAGAGGAATACAAGTATAAACCTACCTGATCAACAACCATGATCTTTAGAGAAAGTCAAGTATAGACCTAACCGACCAACAACCATGATCTTTAGAAGAAAACAAGTATAGCCCTATCTGATCAACAACCATGATTAACAACTTATGTGACACACAGGAAGTGGTGTTGGAGAAAATGCAAGATCACCAAGGAAACTTTTTTGAAGGAAAGCATTCGTCAAAAGTTACCATAACAATTAGACTGAATGTGCAGAAAGCAATGACTGCAAAGTCCTTTCAGCATGTTGGTGTGTCAGCGTTCACAACGATTACCAACAGTCAACACAAACATTCCGTATTCTGATATCTGTTTTAGCTGCGAGTTTTATCTAATGGCTTTTCTGTGGTCTACTCTACAGAAATGTCACTAAAACTCACTGGATAGGTTAAGAAAATATTGCAAGATATCACATTGATATTTTTATACCCAACAACACTCTTATTTCTGTAGTTTATTTATCAACTTGTCTTAATTTCTGGTCAAGAATCCCTCTCTCTCTTATCACAGACTAGCGTGAAAAGATTGAACTTTGTTTGTACATCAGTAAATAATCTTTCCAATTTCACTCGCCTTTTCTATAGAAAACAAGGAGCTAATGTGTAACCCTAATGTGTAACCCGAAACGGCGTGGGGCGAAGTGTGAAGAGGGAGAACAAATAATCAACTAGGCGATGAAACCACATGTTTTTAAGTAATGAAATATATAACAGTTTTCAGACTTTTTAAAACTTGTGAGTGGAAAGATTTTCCTATAAAATGGATCTAGTGCATGAAATAAAAAAAATATTTCGAACGGTTGTTAAATCCTGAGAACTAATATTTTCATCTTTGGTGATTTTTTTTTCGTCGAGGAAGGTTACACTTTTCTAGCTACGTTGCATTATTTTCTTTGTTTGTTTGAATCTAAGCACAAAGCTACACAATAGGCTATCTGGCGTTGTAAGTCCGCAGACATACCGCTATTTTTTTAAAATTAGTGCTATGTCTGTTTGTTTTTAATTTCGTGCAAAGCTACGCGAGGGTTATCTGCGCTAGCTGTCCCTAATTTAGCAGTGTAAGACTAGAGGGAAGGCAGCTAGTCATCACCACCCACCGCCAACTCTTGGGCTACTCTTTAACCAACGAATAGTGGGATTGGCCGTCACATTATAACGCCCCCACGGCTGAAAGGGCGAGGAGCATGTTTGGTGTGACGGGGATTCGAACCCGCGACCCTCAGATTGCGAGTCGAGTGCCTTAACCACCTGGCCATGCCGGGCCCTTTTTGTGAGTGTAAAACACTTAAATACACCATTTCGATTTTTCGATACCTCACTACTATAAAGGCTTGGTTTGGTTTGAAGTTTTCATTGGTGGTCGTGTCCAGGGTCACTGATGAGAAGTGGAATTCTCCGAAACTAGTCTGGCTCACAGACACACACCTAATGAAATAACAGACCATTCCAAGCTTTTACTTGTTGTTAAACAATGTTTAAACAACTCTATTCAATAATATACTTGTCTGGACTATCTGTGCTGTGCTAATCACGGGTATCGAACCCCGTTTTTCAGCGTTATAAGCTTACAAACTTATTCCTGAGCCACCTGGGGGAGGCAAATATATCATACATAAAAAAATATCTAATCCTGAAATTCATTTTATTTTTCAGTATTAATTTTATGGGGAGCTTCATCTTCGTCTTGCTTTTCCAGATATGTCGTACGAAAATTTGAAGATCGTAGAATTGTATATTTCACACGTGTTTTGAGCTCACTGATACTTTTTTTTTATTATTATTATTTTTTTTTACAAAAGCATATTGTCTGTCAAAAAATAATAATACTCCTTCAAACAAAATAAACATGGTAAATATAGCCATGGCAACCTAAACCAATGACAAATATGTTAGAGCTTTCATCATTACGTACGATCTCAACTTTGAAAAACACTTACTACCATAGCAACCACGCAACTGTCACAAGCGCGTGACAACTTGATGTTTCAGAATCGGAAAAAGCATAGAAATACAAAGTGATGATCTGTGTGAAATGTAATATCAACAATGAGAAGAAACTTAGTTAGTTAACGCATTACTATGATTAATATGGCCAAGTTGATACTGATAAAACAATACTTGTTTTTTATAATGGGTAATTTCGTCCAAAATCTACGTTTCTGGAGAAATAAAAATTGTTAATAATATTGAATGCCACAAGGTCTCCTTAAACATTCTTCTTCATTTTAGTATTTTATTATTCTTTTTCAATTTGTTGAAATGTGGGTAAATAATAATCAACCTTTTGCACAACTATTTTGGGCGTGGAGTGATACAAGAATCCCACGTCAAATCTATTGGGTGGGAATAACGTTTGGTTATTTTTTAAAGTATAAAGACGGCTTGAATTGGTAACATAGAAAATCTTATTAAAATTTAATACGGTAATAAATGTACAACGTTTCGCTACAGTTTTTCCATCATTCAGTTCAAGTAGTTTACCTCATGATCAAATTAAAGTTTGGTAACTTCTAAAGTACCCACTAGATGACACTCACGACGTTTAAGTTGCTATTTACTCACAGGAACGTTCAAAGTACAACTGCGCAAGACGACGACGGAGCTTTTGATTATAGTATTACATAGTAAAGCAAGTTTCTTCTCCATCTTGACAGCAAACCAGTAACGCATTGTAAAAAAACAGGGAATCCCGGATTACTGCCTTAATAAGAACAACTGTAGAAGATGAGTAGTGAAGCACCAGTGATCGTGGTGGGAGCTGGTATTAGTGGTAAGTTTCATCACGCTTTTCGGTTTTTAACCGCTAGATTAAAGAGCTATTCATAACTGGTAAACTTCACTGTTACAGTACGTTCTGAAGCATGCCACCTGTGCAGCTCAGATAAAAAATAAATAAAAGTAGTCAAGATTATGGGCATTTATAGATAAGCATAATGAAATGAATTCAAAGCCAGCGAAATATCGGAAAATCAAAAGCTTGTTACACAGTGACTTGTAGGAGACGAAAGATAGATCAGATATGTTATTTCGAAGCACAATGGACAAACGAAGAAGAATGTGAACAAAATAGACAAAAACAAAAAACACATGAACAATTAACTTTTTTTAAGCAAATGGTAAAGTGGAATTATTTTAAAACATTGCATCTGGTGGACAAAGATAGCCCATTCTATAACTTTGCATTTAACGATAAATAGTTAAACAATCCACACTGCTAGGCTACCCGACCGTTTAATTCCGTAAAGACTTCTATGATCAGGTCTGGTTTAACGAATTTCAATAATAAATAAATATATATATATACGTTTAATTACAAACTAATATATTTCTCTGTGAAGCTACAGCCATTATTTACAATTATTCTACAGTACTTTGTTATTGCCAAACTTTAAATTAAATGAAATTTGAATATATATATATATTTCAAAATGTAACAGAAAAACATTTTACTTTTATTTTAAAATGTCCATAAAATTCGTTTCTTTTATCTTTGTACACTAAAAAAACTTTGCTTCTAGAAATACATAATACATACGCAAAAACTAGAAAATACCTCTGCTTTTAACTTACCCTTACTGAGAATAAGAAATTTACTGCTAATTAGTGACACAATTTATGCATTATCCACATTTGCATTCTCTATAGTAGTATATTAGTTTTCATATTCTATTACACCGTATAAAAGAATCCGGTCCGGCGAGTGTTAAGTAAACACTCGTGAAAATATAACGTGGACTAGGCACAATGCTATTTTTTGGCTCATGTAAACACTTTAAGAATAGAAGGGTAGGTGTGGTAGATACATTCTTTTGGAACCGCATTTACCAAGGTACGTAATGATAATAATAACTAGATTTAATTGCGCAGGATCCTCGAAAGTGTTCTGTTTCAAGAGTAAATAAAAACAAAATTAAGAGTAACAAACATTTGTATTTATTTCTTTTTGAAGTTCGTATGTCATCCTGTGTTGTAGCCCACAGAATCCATAATTCTTCTTGTGGTTTATGGCATGCGCACGTTTTACTGACGTCACGACAGTACAAATTGCATCGTTAAGCGTCCCTTATGTGACGTTATTTTAGTGTCTACTGACTGACTGACTGCCTGACAGACAACAAACTACTGTGTAGTGGTGCGAGTTGTTAAAATAGGTGACCAGTTCAGGCGACCTTCGGCCCACTTTCGGGGAAATTATCATCATGACTTATTGTAACAACTGTTCATAAGATTAACCCTATTCCATAGCTATATTTTTTAATTTTGTTTCTGATTTGGACACTATGAAATGTCACGGTACATTTTCTATGAAATATTTATTTATCGCAGTGTAAGCAAACTATGTTAAAGCTGTTGTTTCCTTTTGTGAAGATGTTATGTATGTGACAGAGAAACAACAGTTTTTACAAAATCATTTTAAAAAGCACTTTGTCTGCCAACATGTCTAATTAAGATGACCAGTTCTGGTATTTAACGAAAGGCTTTCTCGGCATTAATACGTGACAGACAAAAATATATTTAAAATGGTATTAATGTATACATGTGTGAGAAAAGCTTTGTCTCTGTGTGAAATTGTTTTGCTCATGTGTGTGTGTGTGTGTGTGTGTGAGAGAGAGAGAGAGGAGGGCCATTGTGTCTTTGTGTGAAGCTGTTGTGTTGTCTGTGTGTATGTGGTATTCCATAGCATGCGAAGGAATATTTAGCACACACGTAAACTATCCCCACATAATCAGTGGTTCGAAGGTTTGATGGATGGAATATTAATATGGAACATGTGCAGAAGAGGTAGAGCCAGAGAAGTTTGACGAACGTGACTAAATACTATATTTTGTTGCTACTTGTTGAATAAGATTGAAATTAAAATAAAGCTTATAGACGGAACGCAAATATATTAAACTGAAATAAAAACTGAAAGTTAAAGCAAAATGTGTCACTACATCATACAGTAAGTTCAACACACATCTCTCTTGTGATACTACATCACACAGTGAGTTCAACACACGCACATACCCTCTCTCGTAACACTACATCACACAGTAAGTTCAACACACATCTCTCTTGTGATACTACATCACACAGTGAGTTCGACACACGCACATACCCTCTCTCGTAACACTACATCACACAGTAAGTTCAACACACATCCCCCTCTCGTAACACTGCATCACACAGTAAGTTCAATACACATCCCCCCTTTTGTAACACTATATCACACAGTAAGTGTCGGGCTCAGAACTGTATTTATATTTATGGCAAAGCCAATGAGGCTACGTGCAGTCGTCCCTTATTTTCAACTACTGACCAGACGGAGGGCAGCCAGTTACCGCATCCAACCACTCATCATACACGCCAAGAGATTGACTGTCACTCTTATAACTTATCTACAACTTAAAGTGCGGGAAATGTTTTGTGGTATTAGAGGCAATCTATTAGAGGCTAGCCAATCCTAATTTAGCAGTGATAGACAAAGTTAAGGCAGCTAGTCAACACCGCCCACCGCCAACTTTTGGGCTACCCTTTTACCAACGATTAGTGGGAGTAGCTGAAACATTACAACGCTCACCCGACTGAAAGGACAAACATGTTCAGTGATGGGGCTTCGAATTCGCGACACAATCACAAAATCACAAAACATATGCACAAACAAGCACGTCATATTTATCATCATAACTCAATCAAACCAAACAAAATGTTAATGGTTTGTGGAAGGGGGAAGGGGGGTCACCCATTCTCTAATGATGGCTGTTTTTCACTACTACAGCTGTTAGTTTTAAATTAAACCAAACAAGAAAAGCTAACGGTCTCTGTGTTAGACCAGCCATCCTATTGATGGCTGTTTTTCATTTTTACAATTGTTGGGGGAATCATTCATTCCACTGATGTTTGTTTTCACAACTACTACTTCTGGTGTTTGTCAGCAGACAACGAAAACATAACTTCGACGTTCTTGTGTCTGCATTCGAAGAAAACTAAAAAAATGTATAATTGGATGAAAGACTAAAAAAAAATGGCGAAACGAATAACAGATAAAACACGTTTTTCAGAGGATTATCTATTTGGATAAAAATAAACGTGTAAATGAATAACTGGTTAATTAACAAGTCAATAGAAAAGTCCCCTGGTGGGGCAGCGGTAAGTTTACGGAATTACAACGTTTGAATCCGGGGTTCGGTCCCTGCGGTAGATACAGTAGATAGCTCAATGTGGCTTTGTTTTAGAACAAACAAACAAACAATAGAAACAAAAATGTTGACCGTGATCAAGATCCTGTTCGAGTTTACACGTTAAAAATCAAGGGTGACGCAAAACTAAACAATAGGCTATCTGTGCTCTGCCCACCACGGGTATCAAAAGCCGAATTTTAGAATCTTATGCCTGCAGACTTATCACTGAGCCACTGGGGGGCATCTAAGGAGAAACTGCAGATTTCCTTCTGGATTATTCTTTACTTGCTTTGGGAATAAGCGTTCCATAATTATCCCACAGCTTTTGTTCGTTTCGGTAAAAACCTAAATGTATATATCTTGTTTAATTTAAGTAATTTAATGGGTTGTTTTTTTATTATAATGTTCTAAGTAGTTTTAAATATTATCATTATTTTGCTCTTATGGTTGGTATTTTTCATTATTAGCTTAGTGTGTATATTTCGACGTAATCTAAATTTCCTAAGCTAACAGAACCTTATGAGGTGTGAATGGGATTGCATTTGAATTGACCACTAATAACGAAGATTACCTAATTGAGGAACTTATGCATCTTAATCCTTATAGGTTTTGGTTTTGTTGTATATTAATTTATGAAATTTTAGTTTTGTTAATGCTTTCCGAACGTGTTTTAGAAACAATTAAATGTTTAACAGTAATGCCCCCCAGTGGCACAGCGGTATGTCTGCGGACTTACAACGCTAGAATCTGGGTTTAGATACCCAGGGTGGGCAGAGCACAGATTGTGTAGCTTTGTGCTTAATTACAAACAAATAAACAATTTAACAGTAATAAATAATTTCCTTCCTTCAAACATTAAAGTTCACCGAAATTCTACCCTGATATTTAGCTGGGTTTGTGTTTTTGTTTTTAATTTGGGTGGCTCAAGCATAATTGATTAATTAGCATATTGCACGGGTGATCTGTGGGTCTCAGGTTCGAGACGTGGTTTTACTAATCAGAAGTGTAAATGCGTTTCAAGTCTCCGATGCTACTAATTAAAGTTGCAGTCACCGTTGTAACTTGTTTGTTTGATAATAAAGTTGGATTACAAACAAAAGTAGGTTCACAATGTTTTTGTAATATATCAACTAGCAGGAACAGTCGTTAATCTAAAATTGATAGTTCTATATTACACCGCTATCTGATTTGGCCACCTTCCAAAAGTATTCTATTTTCGAACGACTACTTAATTTTTAAAGTCGCGTTGTTCCTAACGTTAATAATTATTTTCTTATCTTATAAATTACACATTTGTTAACAAATTAATCTTCTATATTTTGAAAAATAATTATTAGTCATAATTAGAATGTTTCTACGAACGTGTTGCCATACAAAGGACAGAACTTTGTCAGATTTTCAGCGCCACACCTGTCGCTATTGACGATTGTTGGCAAAAGGATATGTTTTGTTGAACCAGATTGGAAAGCAGACATGTCTGTTTGTCAACAATAGACATGTCTGCCTTCCAATCTGGTTCAACAAAGCTTATCCTTTTGTCAACAACAATAGACATGTCTGCCTTCCAATCTGGTTCAACAAAGCTTATCAAAAGCTTATCATTTTGTCA